GATGTGTGTGGAAAAAGCCGTGTATGTACCGCTTACTTGAATAATTAGCCGTTACTCAATAATCTCGCCTTTCCTACCCTTTACCCCAAATCACACAGTCCAGCCAATCGAACATTAACTTTAAATTATTGGAAGGAACATTCTACCACGACCTTACAATTGGCGCCCAACAGCGGGGCTGGACTTGCGTGTTGTGAGAGGGAGGGAGGAGTGAACGGGACGGAACAGAACGTGTCGCGTGTCGCGTTGCGCGTGAGTGCGTGTGTGACTCTAGTGTGCAGTGCTATTAGTGAACTTCAAGATGATTGAAACCATCAACTTGATCCTTGTTGTGCTGTGGCTGTTCTGCTGGTGGTCCGCCCTGCCGCGACCAAGGGCGCGCGCAGCGAACAGCACGGCGCCCCCTGCGTGGCTCGTGCCCCTCCTGGCGGAGCTCGCCGCCTTTGCCGCCGCGGCCACCGCGGCCCTGAAGCAGTACTCAGCGTCGGCGGCCGGGCTGCACCAACCCACCCCGTGCCCCTGCACAGTCGACACCAAGGACGTCATCAACGCGCCACCGCTGCCGCCCGCCGCCGTGCCGAGGCCCATTACGGCCGACTTCGCCGACGACGCCGCGGTGCGGACTCGGTCGCCGACACCAGTGCCCGTCGCGCCCGCCCAGGCCCCCGCTGCGGCCCCCACCGAGGCACCGACGAGCACCATCATCGGGGAGTCCTGGCGACCCGAGGAGCCTTGGTGTAGGTTTGACGGCAAGTCGGACCCGACCACTTTTGTGAATGAGCTGGACATCTTCTTTGACGCCCACGAGCTGCCCCTCAACGTGAAGCGTGCCCTAGCTCTCGTTTTCCTGGGAGAGTACAAGAAGGAGTTGGCCCTCTGCGAGCCCCAGCAGTGCGGGCTCCGAACGGCCGAGGAGCTCCGTCACGCAATCTGGGACAAGTTCCGTCGTGCCGCACCCATCCCGGACGGCACCGTGAGGCACCCCACGGGCGTCGTTACCGACGCCGCCATCGCCCCTCCTTCGAGGAAACGCCGCGGACGAGGCCGTAAGGGCCTCGGGCGCCCCCACCGCGAAGAGGAGGCCATCTAGAAGCAGTCACCCCTCCCCGCGCCTCGCCGAGGAACCACCGGCGTTGGCGCCCTGGGGGGTGGAGCACCGTGCCGGACGCACGGCAACGGTCAGCCGCGAGGGCCCTGTCACGACGGCCTCCGGCGACCACCGTCCGCGAGGAGAGGACCATGCCAATCCGCTCCTCCCCGCCGACGCGGGACCCCGCGAGCTGCAGCGCCACTGCAGCACCACTAGTGTGAGGCACCAGGTGACCAACCGGGTGAGGTGACAGCTGACCCATGGGGGGGTCACGCAGGCCGCGAGCCCCCAGAGCCGCCGCACCGAACGACGCGGACCACCAACGAGCTGCCGTCCTGCCCGGCCACTTCCCCACCGTAGCGACTTACGTCAGGCCCGCCGCGTCAACGCCAGCCTGACGACAGCTGACGACCCCGCGGGCCGAGCACCGCGACGACGCCCGCCACCCACATTCGCCCCGGGGCACCCCGTGTGTCCGGCCACCTGGTCACCCACCACCAGCCCGCTCAGGGCCCCTCGCACCACCTGGGCCGCTGATGGCCTAGGAGTGCCACCGTCCCGGGCCTGCCACACGCCCGGGGCCCCGCCGCGGAGCCGGCGCCTCAACCAGACCGCGGCGCGGTCACGAAGTGAGGCGCCCCCGCGGCCCCCCTCCGCCCGCCGGGACGTTGAAGGCGCCCCAGTCCTGCCCGTGTCAACTGGCGACCCGGCAGGTCTGGCTTTCCGCCCCCGCTGCTGCGAAGAGGACGCCACCCAAAGGACCGAGGACGAGTTCGACATCGCCGTGCGCCGGAGCGCACGGGGGGTCACTTGAGCGCCGCCCCCGCCCGGATAGGCCTGTCTGGGTGGGACCCGCCGCCGACTCGTGAGGGGCTCGCTGCCAGGGCGCGCCCCGCCCCCCCTGCACCCCTCCTGCGCGCGAGTCCTCGGGGAGCGCGACTCGGCTTCCACGGAGAGCCTAGCGCCGCTCCTCGCGGGCAGTCATAGCGCCCGTCGCTCTCTGCCTCCATGACCCACCCTCCTGGACAACCGGAAGAAGAAGATCCGGCCAACTCGAGGGCCTCTGCGTGGACTCCTATGTATATATGTTCTCTAGTTCATTGCGTCTTATGTAACATACTGTAAAATTGTACATTCATTTCTTGCATTGCGTAATCTTAGTTCTCCTGTGTGTTTGGGTTTTTGTCACTACTAGCGTTAGGCCCCATGGTCGTGTCTCATGTGTTTTGTGTTCCTTTTGATTTTTCTCTGTCAGTGTACCCTTTAGTGTGCAATGGCATCGCCGGCTTTGATGTCCAACAGTTTAGCTTAGGTTATTCCGTGTGAGGGCTTGTCAGGGCCGTGCTTAGGTTAAGTCATGGGGTTTTCTTGTAATTTTCCGGCCTTGATGTCCAGCAGTTTAGCTAAGGTTATCCCGTGTGTGGGCTTGTCAGGGCTGTGCTTAGGTTAGGTCATGTTTTCTTTCTGTGTACTTTTGCTTTCCATGTTTTTCACTTGCTTAGGTAGGTTTAGCTTTAGGCCCTCGCGGCAGGCTGGCAGGTTGGGGAACCCCTTCTTTAGTCGACGAGGCTCATCTCTCGGTCTTCGATCTCGATTTGAACTCGCCGAGGGGGGTATTGTGGGGTGCCCATTTATTTTTGGACATTTTCCCCGTCATGCCATT